TTTTTTTCATCAAAAGTTAGGGTCTAACTTTTATTGTTAATCTAATTGTTACCGTCTGAAATCCAGTCTCCGGTATGTAATCTTGTCTCTCTTTTCATTTTTTTCCATACTTGTTTGCTTTTAGATGGTATGATTATCTATTCAAAATTTGATTTTTTATCTTTGATTCTAGGGTCATCCCACATTGATAATTTATTATATTTAATAATTGTTGTTTGCTTTTCAAAATTTTAACTTTTGTTGATGGGCAGTAATGGTTCAAGATTATAGTTAAACTAGTAAAATATCTATTTTAAGTGCCAAAATATTCGTGTTGAATTTAATAATTGTAAGCTCACTTAGAACTATATTGAAGATTATAGTAAAAATATTCAAAATTTGATGGTTGTTACTTTAGGTTTAGATCAATTTAGAACCCACTGGTCTGAAATCCTGGCTCCACCTCTTTGTGTTATTTCTTACAATCCGTATAACGGCTAAAGTTTAAAGTGCTTATACTATATACCTGTCTTAAACAGATGAAAATGTCCCAAATGCAGCACTCTTCGTCTCAACAACAGGACCAGTTGCAGCAGCAGCAGCAACAACTGCAACAGGTTAGCTTAAGGAAAGCGTAAAAAAAGCTGTTTTTTTATCTGAATTTTGATATCATCGAACTCATGTGATATCAACTTTTGTTAACAAGTGATATCTGTTCCTGCCTTGCCTTCTTTTGCTGCAGTTGGAAATTTCCATTCTTTTTCCTTTTTAATGTTTTGGTTTCCTGAAAAATAAATTATCTAATCAGTCCAATGAGTAGTTCATCCAGCTTCTTACTTTTTTCCCAGACCAACAGAAAAAGGAAGCAACATTCGTCTTCGGGACATGCTAATAGTACTGGCACTGGTAACACAGTTGGCCCTTCACCAAGTTCACCACAATCAACTCATACCCCAGGTGATGGAATGACTAGCATGTCAAAAGGTTTGATAATGTATGGAGAGGGAACTGGCGGAATTGCATCCTCTACAAATCAGCTGGTAATTCTTTCAGTTATTCATGCAAATGTTTGTTTGGATTATTTTTTTTCTAAATGTCTACTTTCATATTTGTTAATGAAGTATTTAGTTTCCATATAAATTCACAGTTTAATATGCTAATTATGCCAAGACCTTGAAAGTGCTTTTTACCATCTTAAATCGTATAATGCTCAACGTGACTTCTATCGTACAGGATGACTTAGAGCCTTTTGGAGACATTGATAATGTGGAATCATTTCTGTCACAAGACGGAGGAGATGGAAACATCTATGGATCATTGAAGCAAACTCTTACTGAGCACAAGCCTGAAACCTCAAAAGGTAATAATCTCACAATTGGACTTGTAAAAGCTCTATTGTGTTTCTTTTTTTTTTGCAAAATTATAAACTTAAACGATTCATCTCAGGTTTCTCCTTTGGTGAAGTTGGTTGTATACGCACGAGAAATAAAGTGACTTGCTGTCATTTCTCATCAGATGGGAAGTTACTTGCTAGTGCTGGACATGACAAGAAGGTAGGCTGCTCCAGAATATCTAATGTCTTTAGCATAAATAATCGGATTACTGTTTTATTTCGTTCTATGATATGTGATTGTAGGTTCTATTCTCTATTTTACTTCATTATTCATCTAAGAAATTGTAAATTATGAAACATTTACTATGTATGCATCAGGCTGTTCTTTGGAACATGGATACTCTACAAACAGAGACCACGCCTGAGGAACATCAGTACTTGATTACAGATATCCGCTTCCGGCCTAATTCTTCTCAACTTGCAACTGCTTCATTTGACAAGTCTGTGAGATTATGGGACGCAAGCAATGTAATTATTTTTATATTCTCTACTGGAACTTCAGATCTTTTCATTTTTTTGCCTTTTTCTTGTTTAAGAACTCCGAGATGTAGTTGTAAGGCCTTAGCTACAGTTGCATTTTTCAATAAATCAAATGTTAAACAAATTCATACTAAATAATCCGTTGCCGAACTTCTATTTGCAGCCTAGCTATTGTTTGCATGCTTACACGGGGCATAGTTATCATGTTATGTCGTTGGATTTTCATCCTAAAAAGAACGACCTATTCTGTTTCTGCGATAGCAACAATGAAATTCGCTACTGGAGTATTAGTCCATTTTCTTGTACTCGGGTGTCCAAGGTTTGCTTTTTAATGTAGAATACTGTTATGTATAAACCTACTTTGCAGTAGTAAATTCGTAATGAGCTAACTTCGACTTCATTTCTCTCTACTTGTAGCAAGGAGGAAGCGCACAAGTGAGGTTTCAACCAATGACTGGGCGTTTGTTGGCTGCCGCTTCAGATAAGATGGTTTCAGTCTTTGATGTCGAAAATGACAGGCAAATTCATTCTTTCCAGGTTTGTTTCCGTGCTAGCTGACTTTGAGTTTATTTGATATATTTTACCTTCATTCTCGACATTATATATCGGTGTTTGCTTATAGGGGCATCCTGGAGTGGTGAACTACCTGTGTTGGGATCTCAATGGTGAGTTACTGGCATCAGTCAGTGAGGAGTCTGTCAAAGTGTGGTCATTGGCCACCGGTGACTGCATTCATGAGCTAAGTTCTACTGGGAATCAGTTTCACTCGTGTGTTTTTCATCCTAGTTATCCTGCTCTATTGGTGATTGGAGGAATGAGGGTAATTGCGTTTGATAGACTACTTCATATTCATACACTTTTTACTGTTTAGTGACAATGCTCAACACTTCACTGCTATTTTGTGAATTTATGTTGCAGTCTCTGGAGCTGTGGGACATGGTTGAGAACAAAAGCATGACGGTTCCAGCACATGAGAACATTATCGCTGCACTAGCACAGTCACCGGCGACTGGAATGGTTGGCTCTGCAAGTCATGACAGTTCGGTCAAGTTATGGAAATAGAGGACAATTTCAAGATTTCACAAAAAAGTATATAGATATCTATAGCTCTTATTGTTTTTTATGAAGAATATCCATGTTTGTGGTTGTTATAGTTAACATTAGAGCGTGGTTTGCCGTTGAGAAAGGCGTTGCACAGTAACAGATTTGCAAATTTTCATGGTAAAATGTACCGTGTTTCTCCTAGTATTGGATAAAACGGATAATGAACATTTTTAATACCTCAAATTGTCACTGCTATAAGAGTATAAAAGTTTCCAGTTTGGTGCAAATGAACTGTGTTATGCATGTAGAGTTGTGTTCAACATCAATGTTATCGAAATATCCTGTAGGGAGTGCTATCCTCAATGGACCCTATTAGATGTGAATTCGGATTAGTCAAACTCGTGCACATAGGATGGAAAAATCAACTTCATTTCCTAAGGTTATCGACTGTCATACCAACATGCTCCAATGCTACATTGATCCTTCATTTGCTTTAGGTACTCGTGTGGAATGGGTCCAATAAGAGAGGCATTTTATGCAGATCTTTCAAATATTGAGGAAGTGGATGGGGCTATGCGTAAGATGAACAAGGCAAAAGCAATCGAGCCCAGACGAAATCTCGATCGAATTGTAGAAGAACATGAGCCGGGCAGGGTTGGATGACTCAATAGATTGTTTAATGTCATTATTAGGACAACAAAGATATCCTAAGAATGGAGGTGGAGTATGATAATCCAGTTGTACATCAATAAGGATTGATGTTTACTATTGCAATAATTATAGAGGCATCAAGCTGTTAAACCACACTATGAAAGCTTGGGAGAGAGTAGTGAAAGTGAGGGTCAGGAGGAGTGTGTCGATTTCAGAGAACCAATTCGGTTTCATGTCAAATGATTGACTACGTAAGTCATTCACATTGTAAGGAGGTTGGTAGAGCAATATAGGAATAAGAAGAGGGACTTGTGTATAATCGAAGTTTCTATTTCCCAAGATAGAAGTTTCAAGTACTTTGGATTCAGTAATTCAAGGTAACGAGGAGATTGAAAAATATGTCACACATCATATTGGACGGGGTGATATAGTATTGATTGATGAGACACAATGGAGGCATACTTAACACAAAATTGAAAGTTTAGAGACACACTAAAGTAAAAAATTTCAAGTTGAGGACCAAAAGTTGAACATATCTAGACTGCAAGTTCAATGGTGTGTCTCTTGTAACAGACATGGACGTAGTGTTGACACATAACTCTTCCCAAGATAGAAGTTTCAAGTACTTGGATTAAATAATTCAAGGGAATGAGGAGATTGAAAATAATGTCACTCATCATATTGGGCGGGGTAGATGATTTGGACATTCGCTTATGATATTATTGAAGGAAGTTGAGGACTGATGGAACATGTCGAATGAACGGGTCCATCGAAGCTGGCTGACAAGTTAGAGTTAGATTCATACTAGGACTAGACTACTAAATCCTAAGTTATGTACGACTAAGCTACTGACTATTATAGGAGTCGACTAGGATAAGGTATTTTACTTGTAATACAATACTACTCATGTAATTATTTGTGTTGTAGTAGGATTCCTAGTATAACTAGAATAGGATTCTTCTCCTATATAAGGAGCTTGTAACTCAATATTATAATTATCAATACATCCTTGATTTCTCCAAACTTTCGTGAGAATTCTATATAGTATCAGAGCAATAAATTTTTTCCGCTCTTTAACGTATTAGATCAAAATTAAAAACAATCAAATTATCAAACCGCAGTGGCCCCTTCTACAAACGCTCTTTCAACCTCTTCACTTTATTATCTTATTTTAGCCCGCTCTATTAAACTTAAGCCAACGAAACTATCTTATATGGAGAATACAAGTAATTTAGTTGATTCAAGTGATGAGATTAACCTACCTCATCACAAAACCACGTAAAGCGATCTGTTCCCACTAGACAGACTACTGAGAAAACTGTAACAGATGAGAAGGGTGCAGTATAAAACAACATGTTGATGACTAGGAGGAGAAGGATGTGTTACTAAGGAGTTGGATTTTAGGACAAAATAAACCATATATCTGATCGTAGTCTGCTCAACTTCCAAGAAGATGTGGGAATGTTTGGAAGAAGTATATCTTCAAGGAACTAAAGATAAGGAGTTCCAGCTCAAGCAACAGCTGCAAAGTGTGAAGTTCGGAATTAAAATAATTGACAATTACATTAAGGAATTCAAAGGCACATGTGATGGTCTTGCAGCCATTCATAAGCCTGTAAATGAAGATAGAAAAGTTATTAATTTTGCTAGAGGTATAAGCCCTAAGTACAAGACCTTCAGGACTGTCATGCTAGGTAAGACACTATATCCTACTCTTAATCAGTTTGATAATGCTCTCAGGGGTTTTGATATGAGGGAGGATGAAGAAGTGCCTCAAAAAAACCATAACATGACATTTTCTGCCCAAAGAGGCAAGGGAAGAGGAAACTACTCTTAAAGAAGAGGAAACAATAACTTCAATTCCAGAGAAAGATGCTTTAAGCTTGTTGGACAAGGAACAAGTCCTTATAACAGTAGAAACGGACCGGTCCTCAAAAAAGTCTTCAAGTGAAAGTCATGAAAGGGACAATTCTGATACGTGTCAAATTTGTGGTAGGAATAACCATGCTGCTCTTAAGTGTTTTTATAGGTTGGATTACTCTTACCAAGCCATTGATGATCTACCACAAGCATTGACTGCTACTAATCTACAAAACACTACCGATGACACCTTGTATGTGGACTCGGGAACAAGTAGCCATATGACACATTACTCATCTTAAACACTACTATGGAACAGATAAAATAATTGTTGGGAATGAATCAAAGTTAGATATAGAACATGTCGAGAACATATCTACAACAGGTCTAAAGTTAAAGGAAGTTCTTGTAGTTCTCAACATCAAATAAAAAATTACTCTCAGTTAGTAAGCTTGCAAAAAATAATTGTAGTACTCTTGAATTTGATGAAACTAACTTTGCTGTAGGACAAAAGGACAAGGACACTGTTGGCCAAAGGATCTAAAAGGAATGGACTCTATGCTTTGGAAGATGACAGTATCATGCCTTGACTTTCGCACACGATTGGAATATGTCAGACAATGTGAACATACTAGATTAGGACACCCTAATTTGAAGTCTCTAAAAGTTTTGAGTAGTAATAGTCTCATCAATATTAGTAGTTGGAATAAAATGTCTACTGTTTGTTCTAGATGTTAGTTGGGAAAGAGTTGTAAACTTTCTTTTGATTTGAGAAATAAAATTAAGAAAAACCTTTATTGAAAATTCATTGTGACTTATGGTGACCTGTTCCTGTCGAATCTTCCCAACATATGAAATATGATGTCGTTTTTGTTGATGATCACACAAGATATACATTGATTTATCCATAGAAAAATAAGTCTGAATTTTTTGAGGTCTTTCTAAAATTTCAGAGAATGGTGGAAAAATAATTTTCTAAAAAGATTAAGATTTTTCAATGTGATGGAGGTGGTGAGTTTATCCAAACAGACTTCATTAAGCATTTGCAAGATTATGGCATTGTGAGATATATTTTATGTCCTGACACACCTGAACAAAATGGAGTTGCAGAGAGAAAACATAGGCATCTTGTGGAGACTGACTTAAATCTACTACTACATGCTAACCTACCTTTGTTTCTATGGGTTGAGGCTTTCCTTAATGCAGTATTCCTCGTCAATAAATTGCCTTCATCATTCCTAAATATGGTGACTCCATTTGTTAAGTTTTATGGGGAACAACCTGATTACAACAACCTAAAAGTGCTTGGATGTAGATGTTTTTCATATATCAAAGGTAACAAAAAACTTAGTCGAAAGGCCTAACCTTGTGTGTTCATAGGGTACATCAGCTTACACAAAGGATATAGATGTATTATCCCTCTACAAGGAGGGTTTACATATCTATACATGTGTTTGATGAAAACACATTACTCTATGTGTCTCCAAAGCAATCTTAGACTAACATTGATGTCTCAACTCACCTTGTTACTTTTTTTGAATCTTTCTCTAAACTACAGGCACATGATAATTTTGATTCAGTGAAAGTACAGACTGTTAGCCCATACATTAATAGTGATAATGTTGTTATACCTCATGTACTTATTGATGATGAAAGTATTATTGACCTCTCAGGCGTAGGACCAGGATCAGATGCTAAGGAACAGGTTGAAGGTGATGACCCACACGGTGGTATTGAAATTCCAGCTACATATTTTGAATCTTCCAGTTACAGAGGAACATGTTGCTCTTACAGGTCCAACCAATGATCATCATCAAACAACCACTTTAGTTGATGTACCAGTTGACCATCAACCTGACAATGCTACACTCCACTCAACTACCTCGGTTGATGTACCAGTTGATGTACTTCTTGCACCAAAAGGGGATCATATCATCACTAGGCACAAGGTGAATGAACAACACTTGTCACTTGTTGCTCGCAACAACATAGAAATTGTGAGAGAACTAACTGCTAAGAAGGCACGAAAATCACCTCATTGGCTTGCAGCAATGCAGGAAGAAATTGATGCTTTACATACTAACAAAACATGGATTTTTGTGCCCAAATCTCCATGTATAAACTTAGTTGTCTCAAAATGGATGTTCAAGACAAAATTAAAAGTTGATGGGACAATAGATAGATATAAGGCCAGACTTGTGGCAAGGGGATTCTCGCACCTTGAAGGGATAGATTTTGAAGAAACATTTAGTCCAGTGGTTAAAGCTACAACTATTAGGGTGGTTTTATCCATTTCTTTCAATTCAAAAGGGAAGTTAGACAACTAGGCTTTCTACAAAAGGAGGTTACATGAGTCAATTTCATGGTTTTATTGATCCCCAATATCCTCAGCATGTATGTCTACTTAATAAGGCATTGTATGGTCTTAAACAAGCACCAAGAGTCTGTTTCGATATGTTTAGTATGCATCTCTAACACCTTGGTTTCATTTGTAGTAAGACTGAGCCTTCCTTATTTACTTTGCAAACTCACAAAAGGCAAAATATTTCTCTTGTTATATGTGGATGATATTATTTTCACAGGAAGTAATCCATCTCATGTCTCAGAGTTGGTTCTACAACTTGGGAAAGAGTTTTCTATAAAGATCTTGTCCCTTTACACTTCTTCATAGGAATTGAGGTAAAGTATTTTGAAGGTGGAATTCACTTAAATCAAAGAAAGTATGTTGTTGAGCTGTTGGCCAAGACAAAGATGACTTTGGCAAAGGCTGTAGCCACTACTTGGCTCAAAAACAAGCTTTGCATGAAGATGTGGGAAATCTTGTAGATGCATCCTTTCACAGAATGATAATAGGGAGCCTTCGATATTTGACCCTCACAAGACCTGGTATCACTTATTCTGTGAATTTAGCAAGCCAATTTATGCAAAGCCCAAATATTGAACATCTTCAAGGGGTAAAAAGGATTCTCAGGTACATTAAAGGTACTCAAACACTTTGGACTCAAAATTATTTCACCATCACTGTATAGGTTGTATGGCTACTTAGATACTGATTGGGAAGGTTGTACCACAACTTAAGATCAACTACAAGCTATAACATCTACCTAGATGCAAATTGTATTTCTTGGACCTCCAAGAAATAGACCACAGTAGCCCGATCGAGTGTCGAAGCTGAGTATAGAGCACTAGACTTCATTGCCAGACTTGGATTTTGTATCTTCTTCATGACCTTGGAGTGTTCCTTCTATCTGTTCCTACGTTGTATTATGATAATATGAGTGCATTGTACATGACAGTTAATCTTGTTATGCATGTTAGAACCTAATATGTTGAAATGGACTATCATTTTATTCATGAGAAAGTGGCCAGGGGACAACTTATTACTCAGTTTGTGAAATCTAAGGATCAGCTAGCCGATATTCATACCAAAGCCTTAATAAAATAAGTTTTCTCTGGTTTTCATAGAAAGCTAGGAGTTACAGTTCCTCCACTCACTAGCTTGAAGGGAAGTGTTGAAGGAATCTTGACGACTGATGGAACATGTCGAAGGAAGAGGTGCATCTAAGCGGGTTGAAGAGTTAGAGTTAGATTCATACTAGGACTACACTACTAAATCCAAAGTGATGTACGACTAAGCTACTGAATATTATAGGACTCGACTTGGATAAGGTATTTGACTTGTAATACAATACTACTCATTTAAGTATTTGTGTTGTAGTATGATTCCTAATATAACTAGAATATGACTCTTCTCATATATAAGGAGCTTCTAATATAACCCACAACCTTAAATTCCTTGATCCACCACTGCTAAGGAGGAGTACTTTCATAAATTATTCACAATGATCTGACAAAAGAATTAAATTCATTTGTTTCATATTCACGGCCTCTATCACTTCTAATCGTTTTTATTTTTCTTCCATGTGATTTTCAACCTCATGGAAATAAGTTTTGAAATTTTCAAAAGCATCGGTTTTATTATTCATCATGTAAAGATAGAAAAATCATCAATGAAAGTGATAAAATATCTATTACCTTCACGAGTTAGAATTTCACCACGTTCACAAATATCAGTATGAATTAATTCTAACAAATCAATTTTTCTTTCAACTTGAAAATGAGGCCTTTTAATGATTTTAGCTTTACTACAAGCGTCACACTTTTTTAAAAAAATTTAAACATTGGGATTAATCCTAAACTACTCATGATCCCAACATAATGATAATTGATATGACACAAACGAGCATGCCAAAAGTTGATAGAAGAAAGCATATAAACAAAAATAGAAACTTTAGTCATCTCAACATTCAATTTAAACATCCCATCACATGCATACCCCTTCCCACAAAAATACCCTTCTTCACTATTACATATTGATCAGATTCAATAATCTGTTTAAACATGCTTTCTTAAGAAGAAAAGTAGACATCAATTTTTTTCTCATGGAAGGAGTATAAAATACATCTTTTAAAGTTAATACCTTTCCAGAAGTAAAATACAATTCAACATCTCCCTTTTCAAGCACTTGAGTAGTGTGAGCATCACCAAGAATGATGATTTTGGGCTCCTCAAAATGAGTATATTTTTAGACCAGTCTTTGTCATAACAAACATGACGGTTTGCACCAAAATCAGTCCATCATCCATCAACATTCTCAACCATGTTTATGTTGATAATCACTGCCACAAAAGTTTCTTCGGTAACTTTTACCTGGGATTAGGATCACGTTTTTCTGAATCTAAAATCGACCAATATGCCCACTCTTACCACAAACAAATCATGATCCCTTTTCTCTAACTTCTTGATTTTGTGCTTGGTTATTTTTACCATTATTTTTGTTGGTATGTCTATCATTATTTTTCTTGAATTTTTTCTTTTTAGTCTTTAAAGAAAAACTTTTTGAATTTCAGGAGTAGCATTATTCGAAGTAATTAAATTTATCTTCGTTCTGATGTTTTTCTTGTCTGTTTGTAAAAGTGCATCTTAACCCCTTGCTTGTTCTTCTATGCAAATTTTCATTATCAAGGTTTCAAGAGAGATTTTCTTTTATTTGTGGCGCATAATTTTTTGAAATTCCTTCCAAGAAGGTGAAAGTTTATATATTTATAATGACCCGGAAGATCATTTTTGTAAATTTTTATAAAATTATTATTTTAATCCCTCTCGATAGTTGTCCCGATTATTTTTGATCAGTTGGTGAAGTTGGTTTGAGATCTTTAAACTATTCGATTGGCTAAGGCAAGTGGATTTATAAACTCTTTGTTAAGCATATAGAATGATTGTATTTCCTTGTGGTATATGTTTGAGAGTAATGAGATTTGGTTATGGCTTGACTTGTCCACCTTGATTAATTCTAATAATGAGAAAAGACAATGTGATTAATTTTTTATACGTGATGTGTTGAGAAAGGTTTGAAGGCTTGTTGAATCATTGTTGATGTGATATCATGTTTGTGTTGCTGTAAAGTGTGCAATGTTATGAAAATGGTCATCTCATCATTATTTGTGTGAACATGTCATTTGCATTATTCCGAGACATGGTTATGACAAGTGTTATGTGCATTGAGAAAGAATGAGAAATTAAAGAGGATGTACCATTTCGAGGGATGTATCGCGCGCCGCGATGGTTACTATTACCGAGGGTCATGTCATGCGCTGCGACAGATGCATGGACAGATATGTCCCCCATGGGTTCTTGACTGAGAGACAGCGGGTGTGTATTACTAGGTCAGATATGCATCATTATACTTGCTATTGCATTCCATTGCATTGCACATACTTGTCTTTCATGAACTTTATATTGTGTTTTGATGATCTTGTGAATGCCTTTTTGTGGAATTGGTGATTGATGAGTACCGAGCTTGTTGTTAAGGCTATATAATTTGTTAAAGTATTGTTGTTGAGGATATGTAATTTGTTAAAGTGTTGTTGTTGAGGACATGTAATTTGTCAAAGTGTTGTTGTTGAGGACATGTAATTTGCCAAAGTGTTATTGTTGAGGATATGTAGTTTGTCTAAGTGTTGTTGTTGAACTATGTGCGATGTTAATATGAGTTGATAGGTTGGACTGATTTTTATGCAGGTTGTAGTTGTGGAGGTTCGGTTGGGGTGGTAGGAGTACCCGTATTTCATCCCCTTAGCTTGTGTTTAGGGATTTACTTACTGAGTACCGCGTTGTTTGGTACTCACCCCTTCATTCTAAATTATTTTTTTGTAGATTACGAGCCTGAATTTTTTTGTTACTTGTCATTCTCATCTTTTTTGAGACTTCTTGGATATTTGTAAGATAGTTGTTTGTTGTCTCAGCGAACTTTCTCCCTCCTTAGTTATGATCTTGTTCTATTCTAGAAACAAGTTAATTTGAGACTAGTGTTTCTTTTGAATTAATTGTAATACTTTAGAGACTTATACACGTGAAAATCAGATTTTAGGGGTATTTTTAGGTTGAATGTAAAATTTCTGCATTTTTATTGTAATGTTGAGTTTTAGGTTGACTTGTCTTAGTGGGATAAACAAGTGTCATCACGTCCATTTTTTGGATCGTGACAATATTATGCCATAAACAACAAGGTTATCTCCATTTTTTACCTCCTCGGACCTAAGCTCTCCAACAATCATTATAAAATCTTGAGCTTGATCTAACAATGATTTGTTGTCCACCATTTAGAAATGAAAAAGTCTACTAGCCGCATATTTTTTCGCTCTAGCCTCTTCGGTGTCATACTCTGCAATACTTTTCCAGTTTTCTTTGCACTAGAACAAGTTCTATACTAATAATCATAAAAATTATCTGACAGAAAATTAAGAATATAATACCAACACTTGTAGGAATCTCTCTCATACTTTTTCACTTTCTCTAGATGAGAGATAGTTTCATCATCACTCATAGAGGTGATGTCTACTTTATTCAGATTCTTCTTAGTTAACACATAACAAACATAGAGAAGACTTAAGTAGAAAAGTACTTTAACCTTCCATCTCTTAAAATTGTTACCACTGAAGTAAAATGGCTTGTTCAGGTCTCCCATCTTTACATCCGCTGGTTTTTTCAATTGTAGCCGTGTTGAATCTCCTTGAAATTGTTTGGGAAAACTTACAAAATAAGAAAAATTACAAGATTACAACTGAAAATGAAATGAAGAAATAAAATCTCTTCAGGCTAAGGAGCGAATATATCGCTCTATTTAAGGAGCCCACTGTAATAAATATTTTCACCGGTCCAGCAATAGTCTTCTTTGATTTGTCCCCTCCAGGATACAACAACCTTCACAAAGTATAACTCAACAACTCTGAACAAGATTTGAGTCCAAAGCTCCACAAAAAAGAAC